GGGACACCATTTGAGGATAAAATCGGAGGAAGAAATGCTGGGACCAACTTCCTATTTGAAAAAAGCATCCCTTTGGTTTTGTCGGCATTTAGGACAAGTTTGAGGCGGAACAAATCAGTCTGGATGTAGTTGAATGCAGATTTCAAAAGCTGGAAAGCCTTAGCAACAGTTTTAGCTTGACAATAAACAACTGTGTTGTCAGCATAGAAATGTATGGATGCATTAGGGATGTTTTTACCTACATTATGTATGTAGATTGTAAAGAGGGTGGGTCCTAAGACTGAGCCTTGTGGTACACCATTGTTGACTGTTAAATAACTGGAGGAAGTACCATTATGTTGAACACATTGCCTCCGATCTGAAAGATAGTTAGAGAACCAACCAATGGTGTGTTCTGAGAAACCAGTTTCTGAGAGTTTATGACACAAGATGTTCTGATCCAGTGTCAGAATCTTTAGACAGGTCTAAGAAAAGTGCAGCACAATAATCCTTAGCATCCAGTGCTTCAACAACATCATTAAGAACCTTCAGTGAAGCAGTGGTTGTGCTGTGTTGTTTCCTGAAACCAGATTGATGGGGAGGTAAGATGTTAAATGAGTCCAGGTAATTTTTGATTTGAGAGTTTATCAGTTTTTCTAGAACCTTGGCTAAAATGCAGAGTTTAGAGATTGGTCGATAGTTGTTCAGTGAGGGGGGGTCTCCTCCCTTCAGCAAAGAAGAACAAAGGCTGTTTTCAAGTGTCTGGATGGAGTTTTGTCTTATAGAGAGATTGAAGATGTGGGTCACAGGGACTGTGATGATATGAGCAGCCAGCCTTAAGAAATAAGGTGGAAGTTCATCTGGACCTGCAGATTTTTTAGGATCAAGATCTTTTAACAGTTTATTGACCTCACTGACTGAGAACGGAGAAAAAGAGAAGCTGTGATTAACTGAGGATTGACTTGTAGGAGGGATTTGATTTGTAGAAGTTTGGTTATTAGGGGAAACGGCTGATTTTCCATTAGTAACTGTGTCAAAAAAGAACCAGAAGCAACAAAATGTTTGTTGAAACAGTTCAGGATCTCATGCTTATTTGACACAGGAACAGAGTTAATGAGAAGTTGTGATGGGAGGTCAGATGATTGGGGGGTGCCTGAGAGAGATTTGATGGTTTTCCAGAATCTGTTAGGGTCATTTAGATTTTTGGGGGTCTGAGATAAGAAATAGTTGTTTTGCTGCTTTGACAGCAGTTGTGCATTTATTCCTCATCTGTTGAAAACTCAACCAATCAGTGTCTGAGCCAGATTTTCTCGCTGCAGCCCAAAGATGATCTCTCCTGTGCAGGAGGTCAGCTAGCTCTGGAGTAAACCAGGGGCTGTCTCGTCCCTTTATTCTGAACTGACGAAAAGGAGCATGTTTGTTCAGGAAATAAATTAAATTATTATGGAAATAGTTCCAAGCGGAGTTCACGTCATCAGTTAACAGAATACGATGCCAGTCAAAGTGAGACAGATCCCAGAGGAATGACTGTTCACAAAAACGTTTCAAATCCCTTTTTTGAATTAATCTGGGCTTAGAAGGTGGAAGTTTAATATCTCTCAAAGCCGCTGTCACACAGTGATCACTCAAAAGATCAGCGAATACACCTGTACCAGGGAATTTGTGAGGCATATTAGTTAGAAACAGGTCTAAGATGGAGGAATTTTCAGGATGGTTTTTATTTAATCTAGTGGGAGAGTCGATCAGTTGGGTTAAATTAAAAGACAAGCAACATTCCTTGAATTTGTCACAGAGGGGGGTCGACTTACACCAATCAATGTTGAGATCTCCAGCCAAAAAGATCTCTTTGAATTTTAAATTACCAAGAAATTCCTTCATGGCAGTTAATGCCTCAGTTGATACTGAAGGTGGGCGGTAACAACCTACTACAGTTAAAATCTGGCCTCCATTCAAGGTGATGTTTACAGATAAGGCTTCAAACTGGTTTGGAATTGTTTTGGAAGTCACAAGACTAGAAACCAGAGAATCTCTAATGTAAATAATGACTCCACCCCCCCTTTTTTGACGATCACAGCGGTAGATGTTAAGTCCATTGATTGCCACGTCATTATTCATTACAGATTTGTTGAGCCAGGATTCAGAAATAAAGATAACATCAGCCCCAGAAGAACTGACCAGGATTTTCAAAGCATCCAGTTTTTTCAGAAGGCTACGAGCGTTTACATGCAGAAAATGAAGCCCAGAGGCATTTTTAAAGTCATTTGGTGTGCTGTAATTAGTGGGGGGGGGGTCCAGGGTTGGGCTGAATCCCTGAGAGCAGTAACAACATTACTATCAGACATTTTCTTGAGTTTTTTGTGACTAATGTGTAATTACAGGAGTTAACAGTGTGACAATTAGCCCCCATAATCGAACCATGAGAAACATTAATGAAGACGCGATCATTCGGAACCCAAAAACAGTGAAAGTTGCAGTGATGGACAGATTCAGGTGTATTAACAAGATTCAGTGACTCCAGATAATCTGAGAACTGAAAATAGTGACAGTAATATGAATGATGCAGAAAAGTTTCAGACCATAAAACGTCACAGTTCAAATGGGCAAACAAACCCGACGAGTTGGCCCAACTGAAGTTTGAGTTGGGCTGAGGGGGGCTTCGGCCCCCCAGTGAAGAAGGATGGATGGATGGATGGATGCTCCCATGGGAAACAGATGCTGGGTCCAGAATCAACAGGCCGAAACAGAAACTGATAATTCGCAGCAAATAGCAGAGCGAGCTGCCAGAAAATCCTCCTGACGTGAAAGACATGATCCAAGCTCGTTTCAGGTCAACAGGGGCCAACAGCGTGATATGGAATAAAATTAATTATTATCCAGGTGATTTTGGATGGAGGCCTGCAGCAGCTCCGTTACAAACTCCAAACAAACTTCGATCTTCACTCGAGCACCACGCAGATCTTCTCCTTCACGATACTCCTCCACGCTGCTCCTCCGCTTCTCAGCACCCGACAGCACGGGGCACCCCCGGTGAAAAGCGAGACTGACCGGAGAGGCTGAGGCTGAAGTCGGCAACTGTTCCGGTCCGGTTCTGCTCCAGTTCGGCTCCGGCGCTCCAAGCACGAGAGACTAAGAGGCTGAAGATATCCCTGGCCCGGTTCTGCTCCGTTCCGGCGGCCCAGTCTGGCGGCGCGGTTCTGCTCCGGTCCGGCAGCCCGGTCCGGCGGCCCAGTCCGGCGGCGCGGTTCTGCTCCGGTCCGGCGGCCCAGTCCGGCGGCGCGGTTCTGCTCCGGTCCGGCGGCGCTTCAAAGCACCGGAGCGTCTCCTCCAGGTGAACACAACGACTCCACGGAGGTGGATCGTCCTTCGGTAAAAGTAACGGGCTGCTCACTGAAGCTGAGACCGGCTCTGTACATCCGTCTGTCAATCACGCTCCATTCTTCCCTCATTCATGAACAATATCCAGAGATACTTGATCTCTTCCACTTGTGGCAGAACCTCACCCTCGACGTGAATAGCGTAATCTACCCTTTTTCTAACTGAGGACCATGGCCTCAGATTTCGAGGTGCTGATTCTCATCCCAGCTGCTTGTATCGGGACTGAACAGCCCGTAACAACGGGCCCCCAATCCCATACTCACAGAGCACCCCACACAGTGTACCCCGAGGAACACGGTCAAATGCCTTCTCCAAGTCCACAAAACACATGTAAACTGGATGGGCAAACTCCCATGACACCTCGAGGACCCTAGTGAGGGTAAAGAGCTGGTCCAGTGTTCCACGGCCAGAACAGAATCCGCATTGTTCCTCCTGGATCTGAGGTTTGACCATTGATTGAACTCACTTCTCCAGTACCCCTGAATAGACCTTACAGGGAATCTAATAAGGATCCCCCTATAATTGGAGCACACCCTCTGGTCCCCCTTTTTGATGAGTGGAACCACCACCCCAGTCCGCCAATCCAGTGATACTGACCCTGATGTCCATGCGATGTTGCAAAGGCATGTCAACCAAGACAGCCCCACAACATCCAGACCCTTAAGGAAATCAGGGTGAATCTCGTCCTCCCCTGGAGCTCTGCCACCTCTGAACTTTTTAACTACCTCAGCGACCTCAGCTACAGTTATGGACGGACCAACTCCAAAGTCCCCCGACTCAGATTCCTCCATGAAAACTTCACCTAATCTACCCACATTTTTATGTCACTTAGGGGAGTCGAACCAGCGACCTTCTGATCACAGTCTCAACTTCTCTAACCTCTGCACCACCACTCCCCCTGAAGGTCACTTTCATTTGTTTTTATTTTTAAATGTTGAACTAAAATTCAAAAGCAAAAACATATATATTTTTTGTTGCTTTTAGTATTTTTGTTCATTTCAAAATATTTCAATGTGAGATTTTCTTTCTTTGACAATATAATACAAACAGATTTGTCCTGGTCTCCATTCTGGGATTTCAAAAAGTGTATGTACAGTTAGTAAAATATCTTCTGAACCACTGGCTGAATTTTTAACGAAGCTTTCAGAACATGGTCTTTTAGAGTCAGTGCAAATGGCTGACACATTAAATTAGCTTTCGTTTTACTTTGGGGGTCCAAGATGGGGTAGAGGTAGGGAAGGCGACTCAGGACCAGAAAGCTGCTGGTTCAACTCCCTCCATGCCCACATGTCGTGGTGTCTCTGAGCAAGACACCAAATCCCTAACTGCTCCCCAGGTGCTTACATAACTGCCCACTCTCCACCTGGGTACGTCTCAAGTGTGATGGGTTCAATGTAGAGAACTAATTTCATCTTTGTATGGGAACATGCCATTAACATGCAAATGTCATCAACATACAATTATGTTGTCAACATGCAATGATGTCATCAACATACAATGATGACAACACATAGCACACTTTGGTGAGTTTCTCAGATATAGAACTAAAAGTTGAAGTGGTAGTAGCTGATGGTTATCCTCAACACACTCCGAGTGTGGCGCCTTCATTCTACATGTTCTGCCTCCTGTGTCTGTGGTGCTGACAGGAAGCTGCGGTCCAAGCAGACGGTGGTTCTTCAGAGTGATGAGCTGAGCCGCAGAGCTCTTCGATTGGCCGTGGACACAAACTGCTGCACACCTGGTACCAAGAGAAACATGGTAAGTTCTCCTGAACCGAACCAGAACCTGACATTTTTAACATTTGTGACCAAGCTGCACATTGAGTCAGAATGAGCACAGGCTGAGGAGCAGAAGATAAAAGTAATATAGAAATGTTTATCGTGACTAAGATTTGTCTATAAATAAACCATGTAGTAACAAATTGTGGAGAGTCTTCCTCATCTAAACAGAAGTCTTGATTGATCTTATAAACTTTATGACCAACCTTTTGATACCCCTTTGCTGAGCGATAAGGGGGAAATCAAAATACCGTTCATTCGTCCATACGTGCATGTTGTGAGCATGACACCGTGAAAAATAAGTGACGTTCATTTTTGTGTGTGGGTTTGCCATGTCAAAAACCAAGATGGCTGCCTCTATTAAATTCAGTTTATTTATTTAGCGCAGAGTCTCAACAGACGTCTCAGGACACTGAACAGAAACATTCAGACATTATTAAAGACCGTCAGTAAAAGTTCTGTATCTGAGAAAGCAGCAGATTGTGTTGAATCTTCATGTCATCACTGTCTCCCATCCTGAGCAAGAACAGAGGAGACAGTGGGAAGAAAAAACTCCCTTTAACAGGAAGAAACCTCCAACAGAACCAGCTCAGGACGAGCGGCCATCTGTTTTGACCGGCTGGCTTGAGAGGACAGGAAGGAGAGACAGACGAACACAGAATGGTAGGTCCAGATATAGGTCCAGGTCCAGATATAGGTCCAGGTATAGGTCCAGATATAGGTCCAGGTCCAGGTCCAGATATAGGTCCAGGTATAGGTCCAGGTCCAGATATAGGTCCAGGTATAGGTCCAGGTCCAGATATAGGTCCAGGTATAGGTCCAAGTCCAGATATAGGTCCAGGTCCAGATATAGGTCCAGGTCCAGATATAGGTCCA